TGGTCTCGAACCCATGGGCTCAAGCGATCCTCCCGCCTCTATCTCCCAAAGCGCTGGGATGGCAGGTGTGAGCCGCGGTGCCCAGCCTCAGGGAGAGATTCTTGTCCTGTATCCCTGGCCGTAAACCTGCGAGTATCAGCCTTCAGGTCCATCAAAACCTTTGACCAAGCTCAAAGGTCCAGCCTTGTCTTCTTGGCAACTGTCCTTCCAGGAAGGCCACCGCGAATCACTGTCCCTCAGCATCTGGGAATTAAGGTCTACTGGACTCCATTTGCTTCCTGGGTCAAAAAAAAAATGCATCTTTTTCCCCAGGGACTTGGGGGAGTGAGACATTGACTAGAATAGCGTCTCCCTTCTCCCACTCCTCCACGCCCTGCGTGCACGCTGTGCCCTGTGAGACTCAAGACCGTTTCTCCCCGACAGCCTGATTGGGAGACCTCTGGGGGTCCCAAACCCAAGCCAAGTCTGGAGAGAGTGGGGAGGACACGGCACCAAGGGATCCAAACGTGGGCTGGAGGGATTCCCCGGCTGAGACTCAGATTGCTGGAATGAGGGGTTTCCTCACGTGGCCGCGGGACCCCGAAGAGATGGGACTAAAGCCTTGGTCTGTGGGAAGCAGAGAAAGCAGATGAAGATCTGGAACCTTCGGGGCTGGGTGGAGGGAGGGTGAGCTGCCGGGCTGGGGACCCAGCCGAGAGCTGCTAGGATTCGAGTTCACACCACACACGTTGAAGCCACAGATAGAATTTATTAGAATTTGCAGAAGCATGAGATCGTGTACCACAACGGAGTTTGATTTTACAACATAAGGTAGGGCGGGAAGTTGTCGGTGTATGGTGCTGTCGGCAGAAAGGGGACACGGACCAGAGCTTCACATTTTTTTTAAAGGTGACGGGTGACACCTACACTTGTCCTTAAAATGAAAACAAGAGAGACCCAGTGGAGACCAACCAGATAAGCAGTTAGCATCAGAATCTAAATCTAGTATCAGAGTTATAAGAAACTATAAGAAAACGATTAGAAAAATAGAACATCAGACAAGCCAAAAAATATCATACAAATTTACATAATAAAAAACACACAACTCTCTTTAATAATGGCTCCATGATCAGCAGAAGGGAAAAATTAGCTGGAGGCACCGCAGCTAGATAGGTTTGACAATAAACCAACCTTCCTTGGTAGCATAAACCTTTGCGCTCCGGAAACCCATCGAGGCTGAAAGGCACAACTTAAGCAGGAAACTTTTCTTAAATATATATTATAACCTCTCGAAGGGGAAAATAAGTCCCGAACTTAAAAATCTGTCACCAAGAAACATGCAGTCATACGCCTTGTTCATAAATTAACAATGTCTGAATGCCTCTTCCTAGTCCTGTTTGCTGACCCCGCTGGACACACTAATACCCTGAGAAAACCTGCCTGGACTTCTCATTGGTCTTGGCCATGGAGTTCTGTCTAATGTGGGGTTGCAGACACAGCGTGACATGTGTCTAGGACGATCAGGAGGGCTCCCTGGTGACCGCACCCTGAGACCTTGGCTAGGTCGGGTCCCTATGCCAGGGGGAGTGCCGTGGCCCCATGGGCCCAAAAAGCCTGGGTTAGGGTGATGAAGGGAATGGTCTGTTGAAATTTTTTGCCTTAAAAATCCATCCGGTATCCTAAGCAGGGTGACGCTCAGACTATAACTTCTAGCACCACTAGATTGACAAGAGATCCGTCTGTGGCAGTCCACACGCAAGCGTCACGCCCCCTCCATGCATCCTGGGAGCATGGGTACCAACATGGCAGGGCCCTGGCATGAAGGACCCTCAAGTCCTGTCTTTATCGCCTGGGTTCCAGGGGTCCGACAGAACTGTCAGCTTTTATTAAAAACACAGAAGCGTCTCCATCAAAACGGGCCACTCAGATCAGAAGAGAGGCCTTGGCATGGGGCCTGGCAGGGTTTCTGGAGCAGCCAGGGCCTCTCACCAGGCAGTGCCCATGAGCTCATCCACATGGGCTCTGTCTCCATGTTAGGCTGGATGGAGCCCACAGCACGTGGGACTGCAAACACCCGCCATTTCAGAAAGCCTTCTGAGTGGCAGGGGTGAGGAAGAGAAGGGCCGACATGACCCGTTTCCACCTGCCTCCCAGCCCCACGCGTGGACAGGATGGCAGGTCGGGAGTATGTCATGGCCTGAGCTGCTGGGGTGGGTGGGCCCAGGGCCCCTGTCCCTGAGGTCACCTCTGGGCTTGGAATGTGTCCCAGCCACGCAGTGTCAAACACAGCGCCAGCTCACGGGACCCAGTGGCCGATTGCCTGGCGGAGATAAGAGCCTCAGTGGAAAGAGACTTTTTGCTTTTGCAAAAACAAAACTGAGAGCGGGGGAGGATCTGAGTAAGTCTGACAATTTATACGTTCAGCAAGCTTTCTGAAACAGCCGGGGAAAAGGAGACTGTCACCCAACCTTTGGAGGCCCCAACAAGGGGGTGTGAGCAGGGGCGACAGGTGGGTGGGCAGACCCCGACGCCCTCCAGGACCCTCCCCACAACAGGGCTGCCCTCCTGTAAGCCAGCTCACAGGTCACCTCCCCAGGAGGCCCCTGATGCTTCCCCAGGGAACCCCCTGCCCACCCCAGCAGGGGGCCTGTGGGGGGGGGGTTCTGCTGTGTTTGCTCCTTTGGGAATTTGGGCCCCTGAGATCACGAAAACATGCAGGGTGGTCACAGGGGTGTGGGAGACAGGAAGGGATGCCTGCTCACCGCAGGGGGTCTTTCTGATGTGGGTGCAGGGTTGGTGCAGGGACAGATGACCACCCAGTTTTCTGGCGGGGTGAACGTCTCTTGTAATATGGAAGTTCTGACTCTGTAGGATCATTCTGGCCAGCCATGAAACGGATAAGGGTATTCTTTTGGGGCAGGGTAACTAAGAGCTGTGAAACCATCAGTCTTTTTTTTCTTTTTTCTTCTTTTTGCCTGTGTGTGTTTATTTCAGGAGTAGGAGTGAGGGAGGTGATAAGAAAAAGTCTATTAAAATTACGAGGCTTATTCCAACTCCATTACTGAAATCACTGCCCTCGTACACAGAAGAGGAAAACCAAGCCCCTGGCAGCTATACAAAAAGTTATTTCTCAAACAAGCAACAACAACAACAAAAAACACACTAATCAGTGGACTGTTTTGCAAGGCGCCCCGGTGTCCTTTCCTAGCTGGGAAGCCCTTCCCTGAGGGAGGGAGGGTGTGGGGTGTCTATTCCTTTCACCAAGGCCTCTGGGTGAGGAAGAAGCACGGATGTGAGTGTCAGCCTATGCTCCCGATAGCACTAGGGGCAGTGGAAACACCTCTTTGGTCTTGAAGAATGAAGCATGGAGCCAGCTAAAATGTCAACGGTAAATACAGTCCACTGGGTGCTGTCTTGCACATAAATTTCTGCCAGAAAGAGAAATTAAAGTAGAAGAAAAAAAAACCTCTCTCCTCGCCCCCTTTCGTGGGCACCCTCTTCCCCTCAAGTTCACTTTGCCTAGGTAGAAAAATAACAGGAAAAAAAAATCAAGCCAACCAATAGCTAAGAGATCCTAAGAAGACAAGAAACAACCAAAACCCCAACAAAATAAGTTAATATTTATCAAAATATTTTACAGCACCAATCTACATATGTGAAAATACCTTTCTTTGGAAATCTGAGCTTTGGGCTCTGATGATGCTTCCTCTGGGACATTCACAAATGAGACTGAGAATAAAGCTTCCAGCAGGGTAGCCAGGGCCTGGCGGGAAGGCCGTCCCCTTGGCTGCCCGCCGCCCACTGCGTTGACCCTTGCTGTTTCTCCCAAAGAACCTTCTGGGGCAGAGGGGCAAGGATGCTGTCAATTTGTCAGGTTTCTGTCTACAGGATTTGTGTCAACAGCCAAACTGGGAAGATAATGGGGAAGAAACGTAAGTTTCGAAAGCAGTATTTGCAGTTGCCTGTATGTCCAAAATGCCCATCTCCCTTCCTCTGCTGTCTCCTGAATTAAACTTTCGGTGGGGAGGAAGGCTCCCTCAGAGGTCTCCTTCCTCTGGCTTCAATCCACAAGGAGTGTGTCAGATGGTGCCAGCCGCCATCCCACCCAGGACTGGAGGGGCGGGACAGGATGCACTGTATTTACAGGGGGCTGAGGAAGATGCCGGCGTCTCAGTGGACTGATGCCCCCCGACTCATGAAAGCGTGGCCAGGGCAGGGTCAGGATCACCCCGTGGGTGCAAAGCCCAGGATTTGGATGACAGAGACACGTGGGGACAGCAATATGACCGAAAAGCATCTCACTGGTGGACCACTCACCCCGCATGGCAAGGGCCAGTTATGTAGCCATTTTCCAAGTTAATGTGAAGCCCCAACTTAATGTGGCGGAGGGTGTCACAGTTTCTTGGATTATGGGCCGATTTTGATCTCATCACGAATGAGAGAGGCCGGACAGAGAGGGTTGGGGGCCAGGAGTGTCGTGACCCTGACGTCACGACCCCGTCTGAACTGCCCCCCTGCCCTGAGAACCTTGCAAGAGCCAGGAGACGGACTCGTGGACCTCGGAGGGCAAGATTTAGTGACTGGCAAAGGCTCACAGGAGACAGAGTCCCAGACTCTGCCAGTGCAGGGTCAGGTCTACATGGACAAAGCCTCATGTTCCAGTTACCCAGGACATGCCCGTGCTGAGGAGGGCACATCAAGAAGGGGCCTGGGCCTGGTGGGGTGGCTGGCTGTCCCTGGTTAGCATGTGCCCGCGTGCACATGAGCGGAGTCAGCCCTTCACCTGCCCTAGCGTCTTCGTTACCACCAGGAGCGATCTGACAGGAGCTGCCTGCCACTGTCCCGCTGCCTGGCCACTGGTCACAGCAAAGCCCTGCCCGAGAGGGCGAGGGGGGAGGGTCCAGCCTCAACCATCCATCTGGAAGCCATGGGGAAGGACAGTAGCCCCGTTTTACTTGGCATGTGCACGGCCGCCCTCTGGCTCTGGACACTTGCTGGGGACACTTTTGGGGCCAAGGGGGAAGGTGGAAGCTTTATAAAGTTTGGAGTAAGCGCATTTTCCATCCCAGGGCAGCCCCGGCCTGAGGCTGGGCACGGAACTGGCGAGGAGAGGAGAAGCTTTCTTTGTTTAGAGGGAAGGGAGGCGACACAGGGGCCAGCCACAGCCAAGCAGCCCCGCCGAGGGAGCGTCAGGAGGTGACGGGGCCTCAAAGACCGGCTGTGGAGTCCAGGCACCACGACCCGTGAGTGGCAGGCCAAGGCTGCAGTTCAAGTAGTGGCCCCCTGAGCTGCGTCGGGGGCGTCGTGGATGTGGGTTCTGGTAGCACTGGCGGGGAGAATGGGAGCCTCCGGCCGTCTGGGGGAATCCCTCGCAACTGCTGCCACCTCCGGGGGCCGGAGCCACGTGTCACTTGCACTGGCCCAAGTTGCCATCAGGAGTCCTTGCTTGGTCGGCAGCCAGGGACGCCTCCTCGCTGTGCCACAGGCCGTAGCCGAAATAGATGGCGAAGCCTACGGCCGACAGCAAAGATGGCGTGAGCAGGCCGTCCCACGGAAAAGCCCTCCCCTCCCCTCCACCGTGTGCCGCAGCAGGCGGCCCTCAGGGGCTGACTTTCCACAAGTGGAGAAGGCACACTGGGTCACCGTCTCCTTCCACATGTGGCCAGGCCACACGTCCTTCTGAATGGCCTCACGCTGAGGCGTTTGCTGAGTCGGACAGAGAGGCTGGGTCGGGGCCACGGAGGACACTGGTCCCTCAGCGGAACCCCTGATCACCTCTGGGCTCCTGAGAGAAGCAGGAAGTCACGCCGTTCCCTACTTGGGTGGGATTTCCAGCAGACACTGGCAGTCCCCAGGCTGCTGGCTGGACAGTCCCTACTGTCCCTGTTCCTCTGTGGAACTGACCGTCTGTGCGTACCGGGAACCTGGATTCTTGTGCTTCTCGAAAGAATCCACAGGCCGTTCCAGCAGCCAGGACTCCAAAGGACTCTGGGACCTGTGCTTCTAACCACCTGCCCAGGGAGTGTGACCCGCTGGCCCCGGGGCCACCTTGTGTGATTAGCACAGGAGAGCAGGCCTTAAGGGACAGGCTCGGCAACCCAGAGTCCAGGAAAGAAGCTGATGCCCAGGGACGCAAGGACCTTCAAGGGACGCTGGGAAGAAACGCCCCCCACCTTCACTGGGTCCCAAGGAAGTGGCCACGGTGGGCCGTGCACGGCTCCCTCTCCACGTAGCCAAACATGGGCTGGACTCTGCAAAGAATGAGCACTTGGCCCGGGGCATGAGAGGCCAGGGCTCGCAAAGTACGTCCTGGAGGAAGGGTGCCCTTCAAGAGCCCTGGGCTGGTCAGGGCCGGTCCCCAGGTGTCAGCACCTGGACTCAGACACTGAGGAAGAAAATGTGATCACCCATTCACCACCCTGGTGGCACCTCCCAGAGGTTCCAAAGCACTGTCTTTCTAAGAGAAGATGCCATCTGCAGAGGAGGCTGGGGTAGCCTGTGACAGTCCCCAGATGGGAAAGTCCGGCCTGTGACCCCCACACCAACCAGTGCGGGCCAGGCGCTGGCCAGGCCAGGGAGGGGCCAGGGGAGGCACAGGCCAGATTTCCCCATCTGGGGTGAAACTAACTGGCACCTGGTCACAGCAGTCTCTGGTTCGTTCTTATGGGCATCATGCTCTTGCCCGGCATGACAAAAGTCTGCGCAAGAGACAATCGACGTGAAAGTATCTAAAAGGGAGGGGAGTGCCCATACACTACCAGGAGTTCAAAGCTGGTTCTGAGTAAACCACTAACTCCATGTGGCTCACTGTGTTATGAAATCTGAGGCAAGAAGGCTGGAGGGCGTGGACCCTTCAGCTCTGTGGGGACCAGGGATGCCCCCGAGAGAGGCCGGGACACTGGACATGTGGGAGGCAGCACAACGTACCTATCAGCATCCACACTGCAAAGCGGACCCAGGTGCCTTGGTCCAGCTGCATCATGAGATAGACGTTCACGAAGATGCTCAGGACGGGGAGAACGGGCAGGAAGGGCACCTGCAGAGAGAGGGGGAGGCATCAGGCTTGGCAGGGCTGTGGAATCACTCAACAAAGCTACCCAGCAAGATAGTGCATCTGAGTCAGGGGCTGCCAGGGAAGCTGGGGGAAGAGGAGGTGAGTGCCAGCCCTGCACCCCCAAACACACACACACACACACACACACACACACACACACACACACACACACACAGCAAATCCTAAAAGTTATCAGTTGCCCAAGTGAGCTCCATCCTAATCTCGCTATTCTCTACTTCCTCTCTGAGGTTGTCTCTATTATTTGTAGAATCTAGAAACGCAGAAGCCCTGCTTGTCTCCGAGGCTTAGAAATCACATGGAATCCTCCTGGTCAGACATTTACAAGAAGTCCCCGTGGACAAGAAGCGCCACCACCTGAGAGCGGGGGAGGATGTGCGTCCTTCCAGGTCAGGTCCACCTCTCTTGGCAGGTGCTGCCCGTGCCCCTGGGGCCCCACCCCACAGGCCCCCGAGGCTGGCTGGCAAGAAGCTCCCTCCGGAGCACTCAGGCCCAGTGGAGCCCATGCAGGGCCAGGCTGCCAGCAGGGGGCTGGAGCCTGTGGCCCGCCAGTGGCCCGCCAGGAGGCTCCTTCCCTTTGGGCTTGTGAGGCCCGGCTGCTCACCTTGAACGAGAGCTTGGTCTTGCTCTCGGGCTGCCTCCAGATGACGCCCGTGACCACAGCGCAGAGGAGGGCAGAGCCTGCGAGCACAAAGATGGCCCACAGCTTCCCTTGGGTCAGGGCCTCCTTTCCAAGCACGGCCACAATGCAGAAGGTGATGATCAGAACAGCTAAGAGGGAGGGGGGGGAGAGAGACAGAGAGAGAGAGAGAGGGAGAGAGGCAACTTAACCATTCCTTAAGTAACCTCCGTTCTCCCCAAAACCCTCCAAGAGAGAAACTCCATTTCTGAAGGCATCAATTTCAGCTAGGATGGAATAACTGGGTCAGAATCCAGTATCAAGACACACACACGTCTTGTCTGGCTCCTTCCCCAGACCCCACTCCCACTGCATGGAAACCAGGCAATGCCAACATGCCTCCACCTTACGGGGAGGGCAAGCTCTTACCTATGAGGCTGGTTGCAATGTTCACAATCAGCCCCGACAATTTGGAAGGCTCCATGTTCTTGGGTGAGAGTACGTTTTTCATCGAAAATCTCTCTGCTTCTGGTAAAAAGCCCGACTGGGAGTCGCTGGTGCTCACCAGTTCAGTCTGGTCTATTGGATCTAACTCGTCGGTAGTTCTGGCCATCTGGTATACCAGGTTAGGCTGCTCCGGCTGATACCTGTGAAGAAATGTACCGTGTGACCACCCTTATACCCTTTAAGCAGAAGGACATGGACCAGCTCAAGTTCTCAAAAAGCCTTCAAAGTTAAGTAGCTCAGAACACAAGGCATAACGTGGGAAGGAGATGGCCACAGAGGAGGAGAGACCTGCATCTTCTTCCTACTTGTGGGCAGCCCTGGGATCCTTGCTGTCTCTGCTTTGGGGGAACATGGCCTCCACCACGAAGCAGCCCGAGGAACACCTGAGAAGGTCTCTCTTGTTCAGAGAAGTAGCAGTTGCTGAAGATATTAGGCCACTTCCCACAAAATCATGGCTGTAGAGAGAGCTACAAGTATAGCCAGAAATAGAAAGCAATAACACTGAGATCCTATTTGGTAAAGAGAACCAGAGCAACGTGTCTGCAGGCTGATGGATTTGAGAAATTCTGCTTGTGTGACTTAATTGGATCAATTTATTTTAAAACTCCAAGTGCCTTGGAGTAAATAACTCGGTATAGCTAGGTGAAGGACCGAGCCCGCAGCGTGATTTCTGAGACATGCGCTGCCTGTGAGAGCCGCACCCGTTCTAAATGAGGTTCCTTATCTTCCCACCCAAAATGATGAACAGAGGGCAAATCTTCTCCACCAGCTTTGAAGAACAGCATGCTGTGTGAATTATTTTGCATACAATCACCATTAAGAGGGAGCATAAAGATACATATTTAACCATTTTTGCACTGATTTACGCGTGCAACACCCCTCCGTCAATTCAGAAAGTGGAAACCTCAGAGAACATCCTTGTGTTGAGCCCCTGGGGAAGAATAAGGGTCCACAAACTAGTTTTAGCTGATTCTACACATCGACTACTGAGGCTCAAACCGGTGGGAATCAGCCGCTGGGCACGTCAGAATTGACGTCAATGGACTTGCAAGTATAGTTAAATGAACAGACAGGAGAACGCTCTTGGGAGATGGATACCGAGTGTTTCCATGAGCACATGCCGGGGCCACTTGGGCCATCCCTGAAGCTGAGCCCCCTCCTTCCATGGCAGAGGAAACTGGAGTCCAGAAATGTGCTTTGGGAGAGAGCGCTGGGACAGGTGGGGACATCGAGGCACCGAGCCGAGGCCCAGAGAGGCGTTGCTGTAACTGTCCTTGGGCCTGCCTGGCCCACCTGAGACTGAAAACAGCCAGAACCCGAGCAGTGTCCCTGAACATCAATCTAGGTTGCCCCACGCCATACAGTGGGATTCATTCCTCCCACCATAATGCAAGGATGCTGCAGAAGCGTCACACTGACTTGAGTTCCCCAGGCCTTGGATTCTCCCAATTCCTACTCCCCTCTGTCCCAAGAACCGGGACCAAGCTGCAATCATTACCCTACACCTTCAACATTCTGATCCCAGGATCAAGACCCAGCAGTCAGGCTGAGAACCTGTCTGTCTCCTTCCAACATGTGACTGGAAAAATGAGGGCACAGGATGGAAGAAAGTGAGGGGCCTCCTTTAACTCGTTGAGGGCATCTTCTTAACTTGGCTCTCAACCCAGACCCTACCCTCTCCTCGGCATTTCCCGATGAAGCGACCCCCCACCTCAAAAGTACACCGTATCCACCATCAATCTGAACTGTGACAAGGCGACCGGGTGCATCTGCATTTCTGTCGTGAAAGCCAACAGAGACATCCATACCGTAAGACCAAGACACAGGCAGCCACCAGTGAGTATGCCAGGAGAGTGCCAATAGACATGAGGTCCACCAGGTCCTTCAGGTCAAAGAGGAAGGCCATCACAGCTGGGGAGAGACAGGCACAGGGATCAGTGGGTGGTGCGCCGCACACGCAGACAGCCAGGACCACCACCCACCCACCACAAAGGGAGCCGCTTTGATTCCCACCTCCACATAGCCCTGGCCTTTCCACGGAAAGATACAGCTGAAAGAGAAGACAGGCTCAGGATTCAACCAAGACACAGTCCTCAACAGATGGCTGGGATCACTAGAAAGAGTCCTTTCATTCTTTTTTTGATCCCGGTGGCAGCTTTGTAAGACATTCCTACACTACGGATGGAGAAACTAAAGGTTCACACAGGTTAGGAGACTTATCTAAGGTCACACAGCTCATAAGTAGAGGAGCCAGAATGTGGACTACATTCTTGTGACTCTGAGTCCAGAGTCTTCCTCTAGTCCATTCTGTCTCAGTCTTGTTTGTCTGTCCATCCATCATCCATCCATGTATTCTATCCATCCATCCATCCCATTCACCCAGCCATCCATCTCTTCCACCCACCCACCCGCCGATCCATCCATCCATCTATCCCAGCCATCCATCCATCTACCCATCCAGCCATCCACCCACCTATCCTGTCATCCACCCACCCATCCATCCAGCACTGGGTCACAGTATGCGCATCACTGGGCTCTAGGTATTCACAACTGAATAGGGCAGACCACAGTTTCTGGTCTCCCTGAGTGACCCCCCAAGACACAAGTGTCAGTGGACAACAGTGCTGAGTGGTAGAGGAGGGCATATCTGGTTCTCTGCGAGGACTGACAGGGGCTCCTAACCCAGGCTGGGAGGAGGGAAAGCAGAGTTGTTCTTTCTATGTGAAGTCATTTCACATGGAAGAAATTTGAAGAGTTGTTCCCCAAAAATGCTGGCTTATTCACCATGTCCCTGCCTTTAAAAAGAATGAAAACAAGCATGCTTATTTGAAAATCCTTTGTAAGTTTTGTAAGAGTCTGTGTCTATTTATGTGGGCATATATGTCAAGTTTCCTATTTAAAAAACAACTTGGCTAGCTCTGCTTTGGGGTATTTCCAAATCACATGCAATCAACACAAGTTAAAACATAAACACAAAGCCATTACCTCCCCACAACTATCTCTCAAGCCCCTCTTGATCACTGCAACTAAAACAAATTTAAGTAGAGGATAAATAACAGGATTAAAGAGCAATGAGGGCCTTCTGGATAATAAGAATAGTAGCCAACTGTACATGTCACAAATGCCTACATTCCTACTCACAGAGAAACTGGAGACTAATTTCTTCCATGTGAGGGGATTTTAGAAAGCCAAATACCTACTTACCAATTCAACCAAATGAAAAGAAAGAGTAAATCCTCGATTTGATGAATTGGGCATATACTTGATGGTCACTTGAAAGATTAAGTTTAATCTCCCTTTATCATCACAGGAAGGAAATTGAGGCCAGTCTTTAACAAAATCAAATTTCACATAAACACTGAAAAATCACTTGTTATTTCCAGTCCCTTAATCCCATAAATATACTGGTCATATTCTGGCTCACGGTGTCCCTTAACCTGACCACTTTGGTCAATCTCAAGAGCATAGAATTACACACAAAATTTGTCAAATAATTTAAAAGTAGTGTTCTTTTATTAGATAATAGTAATCCACAAAACTAAGCACACCCTGCTAAGGGCATAACTGCTAATGAAACTTAGTGAATAATTCATTTACTATGGCCAAGTGTCTTCCAGTGGCTATTTGACAAGTCACTGTGGTACAAACTGTGACTGGTATCACATGCCAAACTTGCCAAAAAGACCCTCTGCTCTGCCCAGACCCTGAAAGGGGCCCAGCTGCTTTGGCATAAAAACAAACCAAGACCAGGTGTGGTGGCTCCCGCCTGTAATCCCAGCACTTTGGGAGTTGGGAGGCCACAGCAGGAGAATCGTTTGAGCCCAGGAGTTCAAGATCAGCCTGGGCAACACAGCAAGACCTCATCTCTACAAAAAAAATTAGCTGGGCATGGTGGTGCATGCCTGTAGTCCAGCTACTCAGGAGGTTGAGACGGGAGGACCACCAGCCCTGGAGGTCGAGGCTGTGGTGAGTTGTGATCCCACCTCTACATCCCAGACTGGGTGACAGAGTGTGACTCAAAAAAACCAAGAGCCAACTCCACGCTCCTGAGTATGACTTCTCACTCAACCTCCCCAGACCTCTATGCCTGCATCTGTACAGTGGGATGACACTTGCCCCTCAAGGCTATGAAATGTAGTCACAAAAGAAGGGAATATATCAAACAAACAGCATACAGCTGTGTGCTCACAAATTTCTTCTCAGGCTTCCCTTTCCTTCAACGGGGTCCCTGGAACATCAACGACTCAGAGGTTCTTAATTCACTGATTTCACACACCCAAGTTGTCCTCCTAGTAATGAACTTGATCTCGCAAGAGGAACTTCCTCTAGGTCTGCCATTATTTGTACACTTAGGGGCAAATGGCTTCATCAGCAACACCCTCAAACTCCCCTAGAGAACAGGCAGCGCATTTTATACAACATTGACCGTAAGAGACGCTTGTTTTCCAGAGAATTCATGAGCTCAAATATACGGATGCTGAATTTCCAGGTACTGACAAAGTCTCGCTTGGCTTGTGTCATGCAAGAAGGTGCCAGCCTGCCCAAATCCACTCAGAAACATCCAGAAGGCCATCGCTTTGTTAAACTCTGGTGTGTCCACATGGTTCTTTGAGCTATGGCCGCCATGTTTTCCTAGTTTGGGCCTCCTCCCCTGCCTTGAGGAGGTGAATCTCCATTCTCTAATTTGCTTTCTAAATAAACTATATTTTTCAATCTAAAAAGAAAAAAAGAGATGTTCAGAAAAGGGAAAAGATGGACAGTTTTGAGGAACTGTGTGTGTTCTAAGCTCTGCCCAATGGAGAACAACCAAAGTGTTCAAATTCCTGGAGACGTCCATCCCATCCTGTGTCAAACTGGCCTCTGCCTTTTGTCAAAAGGACAATTACCTTTCAACGAGCCAGGTTCCAACTGTGAAAACAGACAGTACAATGCAAGACGGCTCCCCAGGGGATAAGGACCAGGCAGGTGACATGGTTTCGGTACTCACCAGCAATGGCACCTGAGGTCAATGTGGCAATTATTGGTGTTTTGGTCCTATCGTTGATTTTGGCCAAAAATTTAAACAGCAGTCCATCTTCAGCCATGGCATAGATGACCCGAGGCATGGGGAACATGGAACCTAGAAGACTAGATGGAGATAGGCTACATGCATGAGGAGCACGGGTGTACAGGGGAGAGGAACTGGGCACGGCTGTGCACGCCACACCCCTGAGGAGAGCAAGCCCCGACCCCTCACCAGCGACTGCCACCCTCCACACTGGGTGACACCCACAGCTAAGAGACTTGGCGTCTAATAAACCAGCCCCAGAAAAACCACACACTGTAGTATGGGTTCAGGCTTAGCCTGAACTAGCATGAGCTTCAGGCAAGGTCTTCAAGCAAGGAAAATTCTGTACTTATTCCTGCAATTATTGCTAGCTGAGTCAAACAGAAAATACAAGCACCATTGCGTTTGTGAGGATTTCTCTGTGGCAAATCAATATTTAGCCAATTGTTCTCTTTACACAGACTGGGAGGAAATGCCAGGGGCAAAAATCTCTCGTTAAAAGGTACTTACTCCCTTTTTCAAAGTAGCCCCTGCTTCACAACTAAAGTAAGGACCAAAATACGAGGTCCCAACTGGGGGCCTGGTCCAGCAGCCAGAGTTAGGGAGAGAGCGCCAGGCCCTCGCTAGGTAGCTGATGTTGAAAAGTTGGCCTTGGGTTCTTTGGGAGTAAATTATCAACAGCACAAACAACTCTTGGGATGATTTGTGGCAACAACAAGGGAAAAACCCACACAATCGGGGCTGGGATGCTGATTCTATTTCAAGGGACAGGAGAACTACAGCAGCTGACCTGTGTTTAGCACGGCTTTGCCGGGCCTGCTACAGCCTTGCTGTAACCCAGCGGTCTCACTCCCAGGAGGGGCAGCCGCAGAGCGGCCTCTCTCACCTGGTGGAAAGGGCGCAGAGGGAGCCGACGGCCACCGCGTACTTGGCGCCTTCCCAGCCCACATGCTTGAAGGCATCAGGCAGGGGGCTGTCCTTGTCCAGGCAGAAGTAGGGCATCATGAGCGTGAGGGCGGCCGACACCCCAAAGTACGCGATGAAGCAGATGAGGAGGGACGCCACGATCCCCACGGGGATAGCCTTCTGGGGGTTCTTGACCTCTTCGCCTGGAAGAAGCAACAGGTCAGCTCGAGGAGGCATCGCATCCGCCTGCATGACGCCCAACACCTTTCCGTGTCAGGGAGCCCACGCGATGCCACGAATAACTGCCGCACAGCGCTCAGCCCTGTGGGAACCAGGACCTTCTGGGCTTCCGGGAATGGAGGGCTGGCCCTCGGGAATGCACACCAGACGGCCACCGCCGCGGGATGGTGTCTCAGCCTGTGCATCGAGGTTTAGTCTGGGAAGAGACTCGTTTCCGTTGACAGAAAATGTGGGCGGCTGGATGGAGCTTGGCCTATTCAATCGCCAGGATGACAACATTTTTAATGGCCTCATGTCTCCCCGATGATGCACAGATAGGAGCCCAGGCGCTGCCGTCGTCTCATTCTGACAGCAGAACGTTTGTGATGCCACTTCCTTCCTACCAGGCACTGCCGCTTGGGAAAGCAACAAGTGGTGGTGGGGTGAGGGGGTGGAATGGGAATAGCAGGAATCTAGAACCTTACACGTGACTCATGTGTGAAAGAGACTGGGAAGAGCCAGTAGGAAGAAAGACTTCAAGCCACTGGGAGCACTGGCCCCACCTGTCTACAGAGAGGAAGGGGACCCGGGACCGCGGATGGGCGGGCGTACCTGTAGTGGCGATGCAGTCAAAGCCCACAAAGGCATAGAAGCACGTCGCTGCCCCTGACAGGACACCAGAGAATCCGAAGGGCATGAATCCACCCAAACCAGGTTTCCCTTCTTTTGTGCTGCCAGAAAAAAGAGCCACCATCAACCAAAGATCACAACATCCACTGTGCGGTCTGGTTTAAGGACAGTGCTCATCTCCTGATGGGCAAGACACCAAGCGGTCAACCCCTCCCTGCTACCGCCCCCAGGCCCAGGGGCTTCAGACCCTTTGTCCACGAGCTTAGGGACCGCGGCCACCAGTCACAGCATTGACTCCACGGGCAGAGGCCTCGCTGCTTTTCAGAGCCAAAAGGATGCAGAGTATTGCCCTTTCCAGAAGCATCTTCTAAGCAATGATTCTGGCAGGGAGAGGCAGGGATCTTGAGGCAGGGGGGCCAACAGGAAATACGGAAGACACCAGCCATGGCGGCTGGTCCCACATGGCCCTCCTCAGGCCCCTGGAGGAAGGATATGTGCTCTGGAGTGACACAGAGTCGCCGTCCAGGTGCACAGACGCACCCCAGGTCCCGTGTGTACCAGTCACTCTGTCTTAGTATTTTCAGAGATACTAAGGTTAAGGAAATCAGCATATTGTCTTCATCAACGAAAGCATCCCTCAAATGCTCACGTGCACATGGCAGAGTCTGGGGTGCCAGGGTGCCTGGTTTCTGCCTGGTGGGTGGGAACTCTGGCACATGAGTGAGGCTCAGCACACATTTGCTAAATGAGTGAGTGCAAAGTCAGAGAAGCACCATTTATAAACCCAGCCGCCTGAAAGAAAGACGGCTGTTTGAACATTCAGAAAACAGCCCTAGCCAATCTGACACCTGTGCCCAGACACTGCGCCCAGGTTTGGCATGGTGATGTGGCCCCTCGCAGGACCCCATCGGGGTCCCCCTGGCCCCTGCTCCCCGCTGTACTGAGCCCAGGCCTGTCTGTCTCTCTCACATGCTGCGTTCCGGGAGTGTACTTCACCATCAGCCCAGATGCTTTCCCTGGCCACTGTCATCCGGTTACGAGGCACGCTGCCCCTGTCTGCAACCAAGTAACTTTAAGCCTTCTGCACCCAGCCCTCTGCTGACACCTGAAAAGCAGGCAAACTCCTCCCAGTCCTTGAAGGGCAGCCCTTGCTCTTCCCTGCCACCCACACCTTTGCCAGCAACAGGGCTGCAGGCTTTCTGTCCTGTCACAAGGTCCTAGTGACTGGCCCAATCCTAAGAGGACGATCCCTTCTCCCTCTGTCCCTCCAACTCAACCTGGCTGGTGGCCACCCAGCTGCACAGGACAGCCTGCCCTAAACCTTGTTATCTCCCAACATGAGGGGAGGAACCACTTAGGATATTCCAGTCCCATGAACACTGACATTTTTAAGGATGAGCTGGCAGCTTGTTGGTGAAATTTGCTTTTGATGGGATTTACTGACTGGCTGGTAAAACGGACAGACAGGCAGGTTGGACCCAGCTATTTTCTGATGAGGATTAAGCCTTCCCGATTCCTAGAGGATAATCATGTCTCTCAGTTACAGAAACCGCCATCAAGACCCCGGAGGTACGTGCGTTTAAGGAGCTCATTTGCACGTGGGGTTTACGCAGTTGGGCCACGAGCAAGAAAGCTCCCAGAAATGTACAAGTGTCGAAGGTATAAAACACTGTTCTCAAACAAAAAGTTAATTTTGTCATCTTAAAGTACAACTAAAACGGACAACCCGAGGACCGACACAAGGAGCCCAGGACAAACAAGTCAGCAAGGCCATGGGCATGCGGGGCTGGGCGGAGCCAGACCCTCCTCATCCAAACCACCTACCCCTCCCATACCCACAGGTCTGGCAGCCACCCGCTCCCATTGTGGACATGAATCGTAGACAAAAGGAACCCCCTGGCGAGCAGATTTCTACCATACAGTGGCCTGAGCTTAAAACAAAGCAGGCAATGATAGAGTGGCTCAGGAGAAGGAGGAGGAGAGCCAAGGACAAGGAAAACTCAGGGGTCAAATGTCTTCTGTGGGCCCCGTCTGGATCTCCTACAGCTGCTGGGATGACAGATGGCAGGAAAGACCTTGGGATGCCCACTGGGCTCCACACATCCTAAGGCATTAAAGGCTACCAGATGGCCATAGACACACACACACACACACACACACACACACACACACACACACACACACACACACACACAGACGCAGTCACCACGGACGTGTTTGCCTTACGCAACCTGAGGTGGAAGCACCCAGAAAAGGTGGAGAATTCTGCTTACATGATTAAACCCCAGAGAGAGACAGAGTTGCAGAGGGGACAGAGACCTGGAAGGCACCTTCCTCATGCAAATAACAATAACCACACATGAAACAGGGGATGTGGGAGACTCAGAGGAGGAAGGCAAAGCCCAAGGACTGTGGTGGGGATCACCAGATCACCTCCAGGCCGATGGACTGTGAGTGTTGGGTACAGGTGCGTCCCATCTCAGCTGGGGCTGGGCCCAGGGTCATGACACTGGGTAACCATGAAAATAGACAGGAGACTGATATTTAAAACTCTGCAGGGTGTGCTAGTAAGCAAAAAAATGCAGAGTGCAGACACGTGTATATAGAGCAGCCCCCCCTGTGTAAGAATGAGAAGAATAAAATATTTGCATTTGCTTGTACTTATACAGAAAAAAACTGGAATCTTACACATTACACACACAAATAACACAGAGGGTCACCTGTGCAGGCGGGAGATGAAAAGAATATGGTGTGAATATTTCTTGGAACATTATGATGTATGAACCATGTGGCTATTTTACCTACTTGAAATATTCAATCCTACTTTTAGAAATATGTGGGTGTCACTAATCCCAGCGGGAGGGGTATTAATGTAAAAGAACCGGCCGGGTGCAGCGGCTTAGGCCTGTAACCCCAGTGCTTTGAGAAGTTGAGGCAGGAGGACTGCTTGAGGTCAGAAAGTCAAGGCCAGCCTGGGCAATATAGCAAGACCCTGACTCTACCAAAAATAAAAATAAAAGAACCACAGAATCCACTCAAACCAAAACATTTAGAAATGCTTCTCAAGTCTCTTTACATATAATCTATAATGAACCTGTGGCATGTATATGGTGGCATCTCCTCATCTCTGGCAGCTCACCCATGAAGGGTGCTGCCCATGGCCACTACCCGGCAAATGTCACCTGGTGATAGAGTGAGGCTAAATCTGATCTGCAGTTTTGGGGGACCAGCCCTTCTGCATTCCACCCAACTGGTCACCTGGAGGTCAGCAAGGTCAGCCTTGTAGAAAAAGGGGGCGGGGACAGGATGGGAGTGGAGTGGGAAGGGTCCCGCCAAGTGGCCTTTTTACACCACATATGCAGGGGTCACCCTATAGCTCTGTCCTAACTTACAACTGCCACCTCGACATAAACTATTAGTTGTTCCACAATAAGGGAACCTTTAGTTCCTTCAGCTGGATATTTGACCCTTAAGAACCAAAACTGCTTGTTTCTCAGACTCGCCGGCACCAAGGTGGAGCTGTTTGACCAAGTTCTGTTCGAGGACTCAGTGGGGTCTGCACCTGCTGGTCGCTGTCTGGGAACGAAGCTGCAGGAGGCAGGGGTGCTGTTTCCCCTTCTCCTTCCTGTGGGTGGGAGTGGGAGGTGCCGCCTCGGGCCCTGGGGCAACCTTGGGAATGTCAGCCGTGGACCACAAGATGGGAGGACTGGATTCCTGGCCCGGGAAGCAGTAGGCTGGACTGACCGCCTCCCGATGGGGACCGAAGAGACGCCAACCCTTCTGTTGAAGCCCGTGTTCCATGGGGGCTTCCATTGTAACTGACAGACACCACCCAACAAAACTTCCCAGCAGGCTTCTGTGATAGTTGATACTCTGCTGTTGTGACACATGCAGGACCCTGGATGAGAAGCCGAGGGGGCAGCACAAGTCAAAGGCACGGGGAACCAGCCTGGTCGTGGGATAACGCTCCTGCACAGACCGCGAGACAGACTGACTCACGGCCAGGGGAGACTTCCCAGACAGCCTCGCAAAGAGCATCATAAAATCCCAAGTCCCACATAGTCAAAACTGCCCGCAAACCCATGCACACTGAAGCCCCTCGGCGTTCGATGGTTAGACTGGGAAGTGCCCCACTATTTCAGAGGGACAAGCAATTTCATGCAAGACTACATGGCTGCTGTCAGAAACACAAATCTATGGCCAGGATTTTTTTTAAAAACCCAAAAAACAAAAAAATCAATGCTTAGAAAGTTTAACAAAATGAAAGAGCAAAGTAGGCTTCAGTCCTATAAACACCACCTCTTAAAGTGGCTGGTCCCCTGCTATCCCCAGTGGTGATGTCCTGGCAATGACGCTGGCAGAGATAACAGAGGGGGCCCGCCTGTGATCAGGGACTGGGGCAAGAATGCCGCTTTGTCTGGGAAGCCGGTACGGTCCATCATCACTAGGCCATCAGTGTGAGGACGACTGGTGAAAGTAAACACCATCGCTGGCACAAACAATCTCTTCATAAAAATAATAAAATTCAGTCTCGACTGGCAACCAGTTAACGAGAGGTGCCCTCTGTATTTCATTCCTGTCCTGCAAATAGCAACCAGTAAAATATGCTCTCAACGTTTTCAAAGTCTACTATGTTGCTTCAAAGCATTTTTTGGATTGGCTTTACTCCACCCTGGATTAAAGGGCACCCATAAATTTGACACAAATATGGCTGTGGAATGCTTGGATGACATATTAAAGGTCCTCGTTTCTCTGTAATAGTTTAGGAAAGCAGGACTATTTTTATTTGAGTTTTTCACCATATGATACTCGTGCTAGTGAAGTTTCGTGCATCTAATGTGATAGTTCCCTGTTTATGGTCTAGTAGTAAACTAGTCACACAGAGATGCTGGTCCACTAATCAGACCACAGGAGGACGTGGCCGGGCACCTGTCCCTCAACTAGTGCTCAGCGTGGCCTGGGTGACAGCTGAGACCCCCACCGTGGAGTAGCGTGGCTCAGCCTCCCCTGTGTCTAGATGTGGCCACCCACTGGATTCTTGTCCCTGCAATGTCCAGGTGTCTTCCAGGTCTGTCCTTAACAGCCCTGGGCACGTCCTCCTCCGTGTTCTACTTTCCTTTCTGGAAAAGAGCCACAACCCATCCCTGACTAGGCAGACAAGGACAGTGTCCTGGGTGATAACAGAGCAAGACAGAAGCTGTCTGCATCCCCAAAGGCTGTGGCGGCTGAGCTGTCCGGCCAACCTGGACTGCTCATTTTGGGCCTGAAGCATTGCTTTAAAGCCACTGCATCGTAGGACAGACTGTTTATCACAGCAGTTTAACCTTCGGTCTTAAATAAAGAGAATCACAGAAAAATTCCAACTCTTCATTCCCTATCCTGGGACCTGAGGGTACACCCGAAAATCTGGCCCCCCCAAAAATATCAAAAAGATAATAATCACAGTTTGGCTTTGTTTCCTCCATAATTTGAGTTTGTCATTGAAAGCTCAAAGAAAAGCCGGGCTCGGTGGCTCAGCCTGTAATCCCGCGCTTTAGGAGGCTGAGGTGAGTGGATTGCCTGAGTCCGCAGGTTTGAGACCCGCCTGGGCAACTTGGTGAGACCTCATCTCTACAATAAGTCAAAAATTAACCGGGCGTGGTAGTGCGCACCTGTAGTTCCAGCTACTCGGAAGGCTGAGGCGGAAGGATCGCCGGAGCCCAGCAGGTCTAGGCTGCGGTGGCCGGGAGCAACCACTGCACTCCAGTCTGGGTGACAGAGTGAGACTCCAACTCCAAAAAAAAGAAAGCTCAAAGAAAATACCAGGTGGAGAGCTAACCCATCACCTCCCGTTCTGGGCATCTACACCAGAGACACGAAGGTGTTAGCACCACTGTCACCAAGGCTGAAGCAACACATGTTAAAAGTGGGAGAAAGGCACTGTTATACTCACACGTTGATACTTCAGCAACCCTGAAAATCTTTGATAAAAGTTCCACAAATTTCTTCTTCTCCTCTGTGCTATTAATATAATTGAAAACATTTAAAGGCAGAGGGTTATCGCCATGGTGTTGCAGAGAAAATCTTTTCTGAATACAAAATTCAGAGGTTGGTCATGAAAGGAATGAGGAGAGAGGGAGTCTTTAAGGAGTCTGACAATGACCCTGAACTATACGCAATTTGGAATTAGAGTGATGATTTTGTTTTCCTGAATCTTTCTTGGCATAGAATGTTCTGTCCAGTTCAAGGGAATAAAGCTTCACACAAACTCCAAACATAGAAAAAAACACTCTCAGCCACCTCACAGCAAAACACAAACCAAAAAAAAAAAATTGATAAAATATATGCAGATAACATTGTTTTGAAAAGGCACATACTATCCTAGCTAGTCACATTCCCAAACACATGAATATGTCATCAAATACCAAATACGGAGAATTGTCGCATGCCGACAGACAGAAGAGGCAACTCACCTGTTCAGACAGAGATGGCCGGATGCATTCTGGAAATCTTCCTCCGTGAGCTGCCAGTTTTTAATGGATCCTTTCACAAATCCCGACACCATTATGAAACCCAGGACCAGGACATTAACACAAGTGAAAATTTTGTTGACCATGGCTGACTCTTTCACACCAAGAGTTAAGAGTCCTGAAAAAGGGCACAGACAAAACTTTGAGCGTTGACCACAAACCAGGTATGTCCTTCCTGCACAGGGACAGGGACGAAGAAAGAAGGGGACTGAAAATGAATCCAAGTGGCATCGAGCCTTTGAAGACCTCTGTGAGCTTCTGGGAATGGGGGTGAATTCATTCCCTTTCTAAGGGAAGGGGTCAGAATAACCAAGTTCGTGGTGAGCTTCAAAGGCTCTCGGAGTTGGCCCTCCAGTACCCCTTGGGAATTGAGGACACTACCCAAGGGGCACCAAGGACTGCAGAGATATGGGACACGAGCCCTGAGCACAAGGCTGGGGAAGGCTGAGCCGGCACATCAACCTCTTCCCCTCACTGAAAGGGTGTTACTTAGATGCGACCTTTAGCAGCAAACTCAGGGAGACACTTTGCTCTGTTTCTTGGGAGAATGAGAGTTTTTCTGATAAAAAAAAGTATTCAGCTGGATTTTGGGAGTGTTAGAAATATTCACAATAACAACTTGCTGTGGTTTAGGAACCTCTAACACACATGGTTCCTGTTGGACCCGGTGCATATAAAATAATGTTGGAGCGAGTCTAGCTGTAGCTTGTAAACGCACATTATTAAAAAAAAAAAAAAAATCATGATCCAGCAATCCCCCTACTGGGAATATACCTGGAGGAACTCAAATCGTTCTACAAAAAAAAAAAAAAAGAAGAAGATACTTGAACACATGTTTATTGCGGCACTATTCACAACAGCAAAAACATGGAACCAGCTGTGCTGCCCATCGCAACTGGACTGGATTTTTTAAAATGTGGTACATATACACAATGGAATATTATGCAGTCATAAAGGACAAACATAGACTTTGCAGCAACTTGGATAGATTTAGAGTCCCATCATGCTCAGTGATCTATCACAGAAACAAAGAACTGAGTACCAAATGTTCTCACTCATAAGTGGACCCCGAACATTTACCCTTATGCTAGAAGAAAGGGATTGGCAGTAACGGGATACTGTCAGGGTGGGGGTGGAGGAAAGGGATACAACATCAATCAGGGTACCTGATCTCAAACCAGGCAAAGTGGGGACCAAAAGGAGGCCCAAACTTTACCTATATGAAGACCACTTATATTCCCAATCCTGAATTGTACACTACATCTTTAAAATAAAAAAATAAATTAAATCAAAAATAACAAAAATTTAAAAATAAATAAATAGAAGTAATAAAAATGCACAAGAACCTCCAACATCCCTGCCTTTGAGGGGTCTGCCATGGGACCACTGGAGTGTGAAGACACCATTTGGTGACATCCGCAGCTGAACTCTCTGCTGGCCGAGAAACACAACACAGAGTGAGGCCAGTCACACTCGACCCCCACCGTGATTTGAGATCACTGCCCCCTGCCACAGATGTCCCTCGTCCATTTACAATAAAAACTACTGTACCTACCAGATTGAATTCTGAAGTATGTATGTTAGAAGAAAGCTAGGTAATGAATCACGGGAAGAACACCCCATCATGAGCCACTATATTTTGTCTTCAGCATCCCTCCCTTCCAGGTTTACGAAAATGAAATCTCACTAACACAAACTTATTTTGTGATATGTGTCTCTGCCAGCTGGGCCAGAAATACTGCAGAGACCAGGCTGGCCAAAGTTATTTCCATTATGTGGGGTGTTAAATAAGGTGTGTCGTTTTTAATATTCATCTACGACTTCCCAACCCAAATTGAGAACTTTTCCACATTTCAGCTGCAGGTTTATGAAGCCCCGTGGAGCAAAACTCCCAACCCGCTGGCCGAGACATGGACAAATATCACTCACAAGAAGTCACCGTCAGCTATGTCCGAGCCATCTCTGGAATTTTAAAACTCTAACCACAACTCTGCCATGAAACTTATTTACTGAAAGGGTGTTTGGATGGCGGTTAGGTCAAACTCATCCAGGATGTCTTCAGACACTCTAGATGCACATTAGTGTTCCAGACAGAGTTCACTTGTTCACATGTCCCTGGCTGATGGACGTTTGCTTCCAAATGGTCATCCACTGAGTCAAAAGAATTATTATTCCTGAGCCACGTGTACAAAAAGCCTGCTGTGCTGACAAAATCTTATTGCACATACAGTTACATTGAACGCATGAGATTCTTTCAATTCAGTGGCACACGACTCCACAGCTCTTAAGCAGGCCAGCCCTACGTGAATCCGTAAGATGCCATGAAGACAGAGACAGACAGAGCTGTCAGAATGAATTAGACAAGCAAAGCAAAAAGAAACAAGAAAGGGCGCTAAAGAAGAAAAACAGAGAAAGGAACTTAACGGGAGTCGGTCACAGAACCTCGATCCATTGCTCCGACCCGATCTCTTTCTCCGTGTGTGTCTCACCTGTCAGGATGAGAATTATGATCACAGCGAATATGTCGGGGTTTTCGGCTAGAACCCCAGGGGCGTTGAGAGCCATGTGGGTCCGGGAGAACTCCCCGATGGGTCTGCCTATCAGCTCGTCGAAGGTGGCACTCCAGGCCCTTGCTACGCTTGAAGTACCTGCCACAAAACACACGCACCGGGGGTGGTGCCGGGGAAACCGTTAGCAGGATCTGTGTCCACGAGCGCCACAGTGACAGCGTCCGTGCAGGGGTCACAGACAAGGCGCTAGAACGTTGCACCTGCAGCCAGACCACAGAGTGTGCTGAGCCAGGAGGGTCGACTGGTGAGGGTCGACTGGTGCCGGAAGGGAGAGGTAAGAGAAGCTGCCAGGGCCTGGAGGGGAATGTGTTTTATGTCCCGACCCAATATGCACACACATACTGCGAGTCTCAAGCATATGTATATGAATAAAAACTTTACCGAACAATTGTTACCCTTACCACCTGAGGCGCTCTGATAGTCTTTACTTAATGCTCTCTGTGTGATTTCATTAAAAAAAAATACTAACAGCCACTTAGGAAATTGATTTCATGGCTGCAGTGCTTATATAGGAAGTCCCCTTTCCGGTCCCCTCCTGGTAGGGTTGAGGGTACTTGCACCCCGGGAACACCGTTTCTCCCAGCAAGAAAAGGGGTCCAAAGAAGACCCTGGAGGGGCTGGCCTCTATCTCGGGGATGAAGGTGCACGCATCAGCCACCTGTGCCACTTTGTGCCTGAACTTGACCCGGAGGCCACGGTGTCCCAGAGTGCGGGACACAAACGGAGCCCTCCTTGTTCTCCCCTCACCCACAGCCCTGAGGAACACACACAGAGACTCTCTCTCACTCTCTCTCGTTTAATTCTGAAGAGTCACAGTTTTTCCAGTGGTGTTTCTCAGGAAATGCCACTAAGCTTCCAGTATTTGCATACAGCATTTTCCTTTATTTTCAAAAGGGGCCTTGTCAGTGCCTTGGGTCTGAGTGATCCACAGAGCTTTGCCAGAGTGATCTGCACAGAGATTCAATTTCATTATTTGGTCTCAGGTTGAGTATTTTTCCAACAACTCAAAAAATTAACCACATTTCTTCAGACTGAGTAGCCAATCCAATATGAATTCTATAAAAATGGGCTCACTGTCTCCCCACCCCCACCCAAACTGCTGGCTTCCAAACCCTGACCTACCGGATGAGAGGAGTTACCCTGGCCTGTCTTCCCAGCCTATCTCATTCCCATTTCTAAATCATACCTTTTTTTAAAAAAAAAAAGGTTTGCTGGGAAAACTGCCCTTTCCCAGTAGCTGTGGCTGAGAATACATTTTCATAATACATGCAGTCTTATACAAGCAAAGCACACTCTGGCAAAGACTCTTTCATTTGTTGTTCTAGAAGCAAGCACGCTCTGCTCAATGTATATTTTATACCCAGGTAAATCCTCTGGAAACATAATGGTCCATTTAAAACAGCTACATTCCCACTGAGAGCCTTTCTGCTGTGAGAACCATTTGTGGTTATCAGTTCTGAGGATGCAATGAAAAAAGATTCTGAATTTTATTTTATTTCACAACTCAGAAGAGTAAGCTATGCTGGCTCTGCACCGATATTGCAGCTGCTGGAAAAAAAGAGAAGGTGCCACTCGGAGACCTTGAGTGGGAGAACTCTGCCAGCTGTCCTGGCGAAGAGGCTTGGTGCCCGCATGCAGAGATAAGGCCACAAGGGCCCCAGCAGGCAGCATGCACAGTGGGGGAGGTGGGAGACTCATTCTGATATCCAGGTGTTTGTTTCTCTTAAGTTGATGTGTTCGACTTCCATTGTAATCAGAACATAAAGAGAAACAAACAGTGTTTACCTACCAAACTGAAAAGATTGTCTGTGTTTGGTTTCTTTGTTTGCTGGGTGGTTGTGTTACATGCTAATGCCTGGTGCCAGCACCCTGGGGAAAGGGCCCTGGCCGCGTGGGAGGACAGGAGTCCACAAAGGCCTTAAAAACATGCAGACCTGGCCAGGCTCGGTGGCTCAGCCTGAAATCCCAGCACTTTGGCAGGCCGAGGCGAGTGGATTGCCTGAGCCCCCAGGTTTGAGACCAGCCCGGGCAGCTTGGCAAGACCTCATCTCTACAATAAATTTTTTTAAAAAATTAGCTGGGCGTGGTAGGAAACGCCTGTAGTTCCGGCTACTTGGAAGCCTAAGGCAGAAGGACTGCCAGAACCCAGCAGGTCAATGGTGGGGTCACCGTGAGTGTGCCACAGCACTCCAGCCTGAGTAATAGAGTAAGACTCCAAATCAAAAAAAAAAAATACACAGACCCGCTGAGGGAGACATTCTGCCTTTGTTTTAAGGAAAAAAATCATGGCTAGCCCAAAGAGAAAAAAAAAATTGACTATTTATAACAACAACATACCTGGAAATAAGCTAAGCATTCCCTAAGAACACTCAATACATTATGCTGTTTATATAAACCTATACAATGGTATGCAACCACTAGGAGTATTGCTACAAATAAATAACAATATGAGAAATGCTTACTATATACTGTTTTATAAAGAGATACTGTACAAAAATATCCATGTGAATTCACGAAAGTATTAACAATGGCTACATCCCTAGACAGTGTACTCTTCCGAACAAAGACTATCTTACTCCTTCATTTGTATTCCTGACATCTAGCATAATGCCTGGCCCAGATCAGGTGTTTAGCACTTATTTATTGAAAGAATGAATTAAAAAATGAATAGGTAAGAGAATTCGCTTCTTCATGTTGTCAAGTTGGGTATTCCTGCTTTCTTCTTTTTGTTTTTCTTTATTTCCCCAATTTTCTTTATTAGTAATATATTGATTCTAGTGATCAGAGAAAAAAAAATACTTCAAGAAAGAAAATACTTCTAAACTAATGTGACGCAGCCTCTTAATTGGATGTCTCTCGTGTTAGCAAGAACGATGTCCTCGTGGCCTATCACGGGCCACGTGCACGAAGGGCACAGAGCAGAGGCAGCCCGGTCCATCTAGTGACACCCAGGGGCTGCTCAACCTTTCACAGAAGGACACACAAACATTCACAACAGTCAGCAAAGTCGTAGCTCCGGGGAGGAGCTGGGCTCAGTCTATGTGGGGCATCCCTCCCAAGCCCTGGAGGTGAGGACAGACAGATGCGTGGTGGAGGCCCGCCCTCCGGCCTTCCGGGACCTACCAATAATGTAGGAGAGGATGAGGTTCCAGCCGGTGATGAAGGCCCAGAGCTCCCCGACGGTGACGTAGCTGTAGAGATAGGCTGAGCCCGTCTTGGGGACCCGCGCGCCAAACTCGCCATAGCATAGGCCGGCCAGCACGGAGGCCAGCGCAGCGATCAGGAAGGAGATAACGATGGCAGGGCCTGCGTCTTCGCGGGCCACGGCCCCGGCCAGGACGTAGACGCCGGCACCCAGCGTGCTGCCCACCCCAAGGGCCACCAGGTCAAAAGTGTTCAGGCAGCGAGACAGTCGGCTGTCCTCGCGGCTGCAGTCCACCACCTTCCGTCGCAGCATCTGGTGGCCGACATTGAGAAGGACTTGACACCCCATCTTGCTGTCCAAACCTGTCAGGAGAGAAAAAGAACCAAGGTGTTTCGTGACGGTTCCTCGCCTCACCTGGGACCCACATCCCACCACCTGATCGAAACACACAAAAGGACCCGTCCCACTTTCTTCCGGCTAAAATGGTTACATTCTTAGAATTCCACTAATGCCTATCAGAAGAGCACATGACTTTCTCCGGTCCTGTGTCTCCCCAGCACGCACAGAAATAGACCAGCAAACCAACACCCTCTGCTGACTTTACTTGAGGTCTCTGAGCGTCCACATGGATCTCAGTTCCTCTTGCTTGAGAATCTTCCGCGGGCAGAAATAAAACAGCATGGGAAACACAAATCAGTGGCACTGTCCCTACCCTCAGGAATCACGTAATTGGCCAGGAGAAACAAGGCGTTATTTCAAGTATACTGAAATGCCTATAATGGAAGGCAAGCCAAACCATATCTTAATTACTAGAACTCGGAGGCCTTGAAGAGCAATGAGAATACTTTTTGAAGTTCTGGAATCCTCTGAGGGTAAGGACCAAGTTGTTTTACTTCTACGTTAATACAGAGCTAGGTCTAGAAAAAGGTTGGATGATGACCAGCAAGGGTTTTCTCCAACTGTTATGACTCAGGAAGCAACTGTCTTCTGGGTGGAAGCGTTAGCCCAATGTGCTGGATGACACATTCATCACACATGGGAATGCATTCACTCACATGCGGGCTCATGGTCTTCCCTGTCTCAGAGAACGCACCCCATGCAGGCCCCAGGACACCACACACCTGTTGCAGTAGTGACCCAGGGTGCCTTTGGGCTTGCTTGCCTCTGATGTACGGGCCTACTTGGAGAGGGTGGCCACCTCCTGTGATCATTTGGCCAGCAGCTGCCCTCAGAAAAGGGGGAGCTTCATGCCCCACCCCCAAAAGGTGGGCTCTGCAGAAAGACATCCTTCCAGAGCATAGCATGGAAGGGTGGAGGCCAGGAGTCAGCTCTGCAGTGGAGAAACTGATACCCACGGCTCGTGCCAAGCCATCAAGGCCAACAATGGCCACATTGACGGTGTGATATGATGAGGCGGATGCTTCATCTCTGTGGTCTTACCCCCGAAGCCCCTAACCCGAGTCTAACAGGAAGACCATCAGACATATCCCAATAGCAGGACCTGCTTCAACACACCTGGCAAGCTCTGTCAAGGTCAACAACAAGGGAAGTCTGAGAAATTGACAGCTGAGAGGAGCCTAAGGCGGCCTGAGGACTAAATGCAATGTGGGACCCTGTCCGTGATCCTGAGACAGAAAAAGCACATCAGAAAAAAACAAACAGGAAATCTGAATAAAATACAGACTTTAGGTAATAATAACATATCAACAGCAATGGACCACACCAAAGTAAGATACATGTTAATAATAAGGGAAACTGCCTATATTATCTTCATAATTTGTCTGTAAATCGAAAACTATTCTAGAACAAAAGAGTTTAATCCCAGCACTTTGGGAGGCCAAGGCAGGAGGAATTGCTTGAGCCCAGGAGTTTGAGACCAGCCTGGGCAACATAGTAAGACCTTGCCTCTCCAAAAAATCAAAAAATTAGCCAGGCATGGTGCTGTACGCGTGTAGTCCCAGCTACTCGGGAGGCTGAGGCGGAAGGCTCACCTAAGCCCAGAGGGTCAAGGCTGCAGTAAGCTCAGGGCCTGCTGCTGGGTCACATCACTGGCAGGCTCTCGGTCTCGGAGTAACTGGGGATAATCCTTTCTATATCTTATCTGATAGACCAAGAGAAGAGACAGATCTCAGACTTGTGAAACTTTTAGCTGAAAGGGGGAGTAGATGACATCTGATCTCATCCCCTCATCGCGCAGGTGAGGAAAAATAACTCAGGATGCCAAGTGTCAAACAAGATCCGGCCCTGAGGCACGAACAGCGGGTTACAGGTGGGAGGGAAATGATGTCGGGGTGCCTGCAGGGTGGGGGCAAGCCAGGGAAATGAGGAGGAAACAGAGAGCGCTGTCTGGGCCGGGAGTGGAGCGGAAAGGTCAGACGTCATCGGAGTGTGATAAGGGTGAGAGAGGGCCTGTGATGCAAGCAAGGAGGACAAGCAGGGGCCAGAGGCTTCCCAAGTCGGCTCGGTGACGCGCTGCGCGGCTTTTGAAAATGCTTGGTCAGGGGCAGATTCGAAGGTTTCTCAGCCTGAACCTTCCTCGACAGTTAAGAGAGGGCTTCTGAGTGGCATGGTGGAGGGTGGGGGAGGGAGGAGGAGGGAGGAGGAAGATGGAGGGAGGGAGGAGAAACAAGAAGCAGAAGAATGGAAGAGGGAAAGAAGAGAGGGAGAGGAAGAGGAGGAACTGGGAGGACTTGCCGCTGCTGCGATGCCAGAGCTTGCAGAAGTCAGGCCAGGGGGTGCTGTCTCCTGGAACTGCCTTTTCCTCTCTTCCTTACAGGACTGAGTCTGACAAGGCACACAGTAAACACCTGCTTGGACAGTACGTTGAAAGGGCAGATGCATCGCTTCAGCATAACCCTCGACAGGAAGGCTGTGCTGAGGGATGCACAAAGGGGCGGGAGGGGAGTGTTGGAAGCAGACGGAGCCTTGAAGGGTCACGGGTGTGGAGTTCCTTATCCCTGCACTGTTCCAACTGGCCCCAAATGTGACGGGTGGCTGCACAGACACAGGGTCTGCCAGCTCCATCCTCTCCCAGATGCGTTTCTGGTTAATAAAAGGAGATTCCCTCCGTGAAGTCCTGAAGCCAAGTGCAAGGCCAAGGCAGTGCTACGCAAAGGCATTGTCTTTCCTGGGTGCCACGCAGTAAGTCACCTCAGCACCCAGAGGCAAGGGGCCCCTCCCCGCCCCCCGCGCTTTTCTCTATCCTGGGCTTCAGGAAGGCTGGGCCGTAGCTGTTGTCCTAAGCAGAACCAAAGCCACAGAGTGACCCAACTGGGATTCTTGGCAAGGGGACACTGGAGCTCCGGTAACCGAGTTCTGAGCCTCCTTGGAACAGAAGGCGAAGGTGAGCCTGGTGACCACACGTGAGGGCGAATGTCACCCCTGGACGTGGGCAGGCGCAAAGTGTATGTGCACACAGGTGCCTATGTCACCACCATCAGCACAGGACAGCTGCCAGTGGCAAACCCACCCAGAGAGCCGAGCGACTCATACCGGGGAGCCTCAGCATCCCTTCAAAATGAAGGGGCAGGATATTAAATACTGCAAGCTTAGACACAGATACTGGTTTTTCAAACATAATGTGGAAAGTGAACTCTGGTGAGACAGCTGTGCACCGATGCAGTTCATTTCTGAATAGGTACACAATGGCCCATTTTCTTCTGGGAGCAGCTTGGCCTGTTCCTCTCCCACCAATGCCCTGGAGGGAAGGGCTCTGTATCTCAGTGAGGGGTAGCACAGCAGGGGACGCTGGCAGGAGATTGTGTTTGTCTTGGTTCCTTCTTAAGAAATGTTTGTTATCTCTGGAGAGCATGAACTCAATTCCTTTGGAAGGCACTGGAATAAAAATGCAGCCCACTGCTGCTGAGACACCCAGAGTGAATAATCTGGAGAACGTAGATGTTTCAGGTTAGGTGTTCATTTCTACCTCCCAGGGTATGAGAGAATGAGATACTATGTCCCAGGTTTATTTTGGGAAATATCCTTTCTGTCTCTTTGGAAGTCATGCAAAACCCTGTTCTCCAAGTAGTATTCTCTGTCAGCATTTTGTACCCATTATGCCACCACTTACATTCATGCTAGGACTGGTCATTCAACTGACAGTGAAGCTGCACAAAACTTCTCTGCACAAAATGAATCTAACCATTCCCATCCCAGCAAAGACAGATTGAGAGTAACTTCCCATTGCTGGGGTTTATACAGAGAGTGGCCAGAATCCTTTGAGAGTGCTATCTAGAAATTAGGTTTCCCTTTCTTGAGGGGAGGAATTTGTACAACAGTTGACAACCCCTTTTATTTGAGGGCTTGACAGGAACCTTGCGACACTGAGAGTCTCAGAGCCATTTTGTTCCCCGGTAATGTATAAGGAAAGAACACTCACCTTCACTGGTATCTTCTCAGAAAAGCAAACAAAATCTGTCCAGTTCCCACAGGAATTCTAACTCCAAGTTCTATTTTAGCAATTTCTACACACAAACAAGAATAAAGTGACCCAATAAGTCAGAATTTCAGAGATAAAGACTCTCCTCTGCTCTGTTTTAAAGACTTCCGGTAAAAGTGAGTGGGTCTGAATGGTGTAACTTTTTCCCTTTTTACCGGAAAAGCTCAGATTAATAGCTTGGGGAGGGGTGGGAAGGAGTCAAACTCAGCAATGCTTTCCCTTCGAGAAAACCTTAATACTGAAATCTGTACGAAGTCAACACTGTTCACTTTTCCTTTTGATGGCCTTCAGAATGGCCTGTTGCCACTGGGTCCCTGTGGTGGGAGACGCCAAGGGTGAAATCTCTCACCCTGCCAGGAAGAAGGCTGGGGTTGACACCTGGTACCAGGCTAAAGAATCTATCTTTGCTAGGGTGACAGCGTTATGAGATACCACTGAGGGGCGGACACAGTCAACAGAGCAGCAAGCATAGCTGGGCAGGAGTGCTTCAGGGCGAGGGTGCACACAGCCTGACGAAGGAGGGAGCGGCATCCTCATGACGGGGTGGTCTGCAGCCAGAGGTGGGAGAAGGGGCCCCAGAAAGAACATTCTAGGGCGTTGGTCACTGTGGGAGAGGAGATGGAGACTCATGACAGGAAAATCCCGTGCTGGAGGAAGTGGTCTCACGGCAGGAGGCACTTCCCCCAGATGTCTGGAGGACCAGGTGCAAGAACTTAAATTTAAAGAAAATCAGAATGAAGATGGGGCGGGCAGACACGGAGGATGGAGACCCAGAGAGGTAGGCATGGCGTTGAGAACAAAGGCAAGAAAATGACAGAACCAACAAGGGCTGAAGAGGGTGCAAAGGAGGTCCCTTACCAGGCAGGAAGAGACTAAGGACAAAAAGAAAGTAACAGCGGTCAGTGCCTAAGGCCATCAAAGGAC